ATCTAACAATATATTGCACCAATTGAAGTTGTATGTGGCGTGTGCTGATCAACCAGTTTCACTAAAAAAACTGTCGAAATGACCAATTCCCGCAGCCTCCAGGAAATACATTTCCAGCAGTGACGTGCGTGTTGCATGCAAAATAGATACCAAGCGCCAAGAAGCAGCAAACACTTGGCTTAAATGGGTTTGAATAGCAATGACGCGGATCACGATTGGTGGTTCCTATATTTACATTGAATCATATACGGTATACTCAAGTATTAAGGGCATCCCCACCGGTGCGACTGTATAATCAGACTGTAAAATACCGTTTTACAGTTCCTGTATTTTGATTTTCGCATGATCACAGTGTAATTGAATGTACACTGTGCCCCCCTTCTTGCTTTGTTTTCGTGTTATGTTAAAAAATGTAATGCCAAGCGCATCACTTCCCAGGATATGTGAGCAAACCAGTACCGTGTACCCGTTGTTAATTACTTCGAAGTAATACGTAGTACTCTACAACATGCATGCATTTGGAAACGTACAGTACCTTATCGTTTCCGTCACCTTAGACCGACACATTAAATTCCAAGTAAGAACAAGGAGCAGATGGGAAAATCCGCCAACTTTAAGCAGCAAGGACTTCGAGCAGAGATCCTCATACGTCGCATACGAAAGCGGACGCTTTCTTGTTTGTTCGGTGGCACCACTTTTGAAGGTCGTTGGCGAGTGTTTTTATAATTCTTTTAAGTTTTTGTTAACGCAATGAATACATAACGTAAACGGCCAATTGTTGCCCTCATTTCGACCCCTTAGCTTTTTGGCCTTATCTCATAGGCTAAGCAAAATTACAAAAATCTGCAGTTATCCAGTTGTAGAGGAAAGAACGCTCTATCCAGTCGTTCAAATTGCTCGTAATTTGGAGTATTTTTAACGTAGTTATGCTGAAGCAAACACAAAAGTTTTGAAATATGCCGGACCAGTTGTTTGCCCTCTTTAAACTTGACTTCAGTATGGGTTTGAAGTGTGGCGAGAGGGTTGGACAATATTTTTAATGTGAGCTCAAAACAATTGCCAAAGCTAATATGCACCTAACCGCACCTACTTTGATAATATCTTACAGGTAATTATATTAAGGGCCCGTCTGGATGCCACCCACCAATATTATGGGATATTGGAATAGAGACATTTAGCAAACCTGTATTTGAATAAAAAACATTTTTCGACATTGCAGGAAATTCTTGGGTTTCAAGATCCAAGAATGATTTTGGGTGGTTTGTCTGGATGCCATAGAATTAAAGAAAGTTCGGAAATGAACAGCCAATCAGAGGATAGCGCAGAGGACTTCGTCCACCCAGAGAGGACCACTGAGGATGGACGTCCACTTTGGTGTCTTGTGGACGAAGGCGAGGTAGTGGTACTCCATCTGTCTGGCGAAGAGTTCCTTGGCCAGGCGGCGGCGGATGAGCCATCGACGTAGGAAGGCAATCACGATGGCCTTTCTCATTCCGAAATGCCCTGTCAATTCAACGCGCACTGTCAATATCGTCAAAATATTCTACTTATGAGTAGAATATTATTTCTTGTGGTTTTCACGATATTTCTGATAAAATTATGGAATATAACTTGGTCAAGAAATGTCATCCCGACACGCCAAATTGAAGTCGCTGAGATTCTTGAATATTTTGCAAAATTATCGCGATATTTCTCAATAAAAGTGGTATCCAGACGGGCCCTAAGGAGAAACCATTGACCAATAGCAAAAAAGTTCGCTTTGCCTGTGGCCCCAAGCTAATCCTTCACCCCTAACACATATAATATGCTGCCGGTGTCTCTCATCTTCTTGATGTAGAGCTTGAGCGTACGGTATGGCACATTGTAGATGCGACTGAGATCTGTTTGTCGCTCTCCTTGCAACGCGCGCTCGGTTGCTTCGACGAGCTGCTCATGTGTGTAGCCCGTCATGAGTGAAATGGCAGATGTGTTTGAATTCCACTCGATAATTTGTGCGAGTTTCGCGCCGAATAGTACTTCAGCCAATCACGGCTGATTCAGTGCTGCGTAGGTATTTGATTGGGTATAATTAAAATACTTGACATTGAAAACTGAAAGAGGGCAAGAATTGGCCGTTTACGTTAGTTAGGATAATTACCAGAAAATATCTCGTTCATGTCTCCGTATTCGTCGGGAAGGGAATCTCGCTGACCGTTGTGGAGAATCTTGATTGCAGACCGATAGCTGCTTAGTGTTGAAACGTCCACCGTTTTGTTCTGCACCGTCCACGTGATAAATGCGAGGAAGTGTTCATAGGTAAACACAATTGAGGTTTAAGGTGGATCAGTCAGACGATTCGCCGCAAGGCATGAGGAAGTGGTCCAATTCTTGACTTCTCACCCAAGTTTTCACTTGGTTAATGGCGGATCTGTCACACACTCGAGTCGATGCACTTATGCGGCTGTACCTGGCACCATCGATGGAGAAGTTCCTCCTCGTCTCCGTCATTGCTGCGACCTAGGCAAGATTCAAGGTGTCCACAAAATTGTACATCATCTTTGGGTGCTATTGATCTGAATTGCATAATTGTCATTGGCGAGATTTAGCGTAAGATGGATGGTGAATTCGTTCTGTTCTCAATAAAATGTTTCCTCTACAATGTCCAAGGCAATTTGAGTATTTTTCAGGAGTTGAAAAAGAATTTGTATACTCCGGAGTATGGTGCACGTCATCTATAAACTACCAACTTTTCACAAAATTTTCTGACTTCTATTTCATATTCATTACTCAAAATTTCAGCAAATTGAGACGTAGAATCGATAGATCTCAATGTGGTGAAGAAATTCTACGTCTCAGATTCAAATTTGGTGATGAATTGGTCCTGAAATAGATATTTAACCTAGCGGTATTTTACATGGGCGTTTGGATATTTGGCCATAGGGGTGGCCACTGAGATGTATCTTGATTTTTTGTGTCACTATTATCCGTACAGAATATCCGGAGGAAGTTGGGACCTTTAACCTCCCACTTCAGTGATAAAACGCATGAAATCGGTATTTAACGTATTTGGTTTTGGGTTTAACTACATAAATTGTACGTTAAATAATAAAACCTCTACTTTTCGATTTGGCCAGTTGGAAGTTTTTAGATGACGTGCACCATACAACTCATCTTACGCTAGCATTTAAATTCCAAGTTTCATCTAACGTTTTATTATTAATGACTTGTTAATGGAACTCCGAGTCGACCGACGGCGTGATGAGGATGCCCATAGACCACACGCGACTATTGCGGTCGGTCGAAAGGCCAGCAACGCATTCGTGTTGCCTTTCCCTTCCATAATGTAACGTTAACAGCTACAGTACATAAAAATTTCAAGGTCGTCAGTGGTTTCGGCGATTTGGAGATCTAGCAATCTCTCCACACCAGCCTCACCAAATGTGGAGGACAATATGCTTCCAAATGGCTGCGCTGCGTGGTCATCTGGATGTCATTCGACGAGGTCACGTCCATTGATGTGTTAACATCAGTGGTAACGTTATGGCAACGTAGACCTTGGAATTCACACGCAGGAACGTACTGGTAACTTTGCACTGTTAGTTCTCCACATCTGCAAAAGTAGATACATGAAAGCATATAGCTAGACCACAATGACTACGCAACTTAACGCTAGTTCTGTGCTGCCATACTCTAGTTTGTGAACACTGGTCAAACGATCAATGCCTGACGGAACACAAACCAACAAACTTCCTCCTGCTGTACTGTGGAAATAGAAGCTCCTGATTGGCTTGAATTCCCAAATATACCTGGTAACCCGCAGTTGGGTCGCGGCGCCCCGAGCACACCAACAAGCTACAACAACGTCCATGCCTCGCTTCCGCCGGACCCCGGCAAGCACCAGACTATACCTCTGACACTGTCGAACACCTTGACCATGCCAACTCCTATGGCCACCGTCATAGTCCACCGCAACGGCGTCCCCACTGCCATCCAGGTGCCGGCAACCGGCATCATCCGCAAACATCACCCATCCTCCTCCGAAAAGGACTCAACCTCTGATACCACCGACAGTCCCGTAGACCCGCCCCTCACGGCACGCCAACTTCGATCGAAGCGTGCGACCGACACGTTCCTCGCTCGCCACGACCGCACCAGGAACCCGCGGTCCACTCCACGGACGCGTCACACTCACAAGAATCCACGCCCCACCCGGCCCGACGCGCCCAGCTCCGCCCCAGATGGCCTCTCCGAGGATGACAGACCTATCCGAGCTAGACAGACACGCAAGCCAAACACTGCCAAACACCCAGGCCCAGCTCCATCACTCCAGCCTCGTCCAACTATACCACCCGCTACGATTCCCACTCCCCTTCAGACCTCCAAGTCGGCCAAAGGTTCCTCTACACAGAGCTCTCTACCGGACATATGGCGTCGATCCCCTCCAACCACCCTAGCGCCCCATCCCATCACCCTCCCCATTTCCACTTCACACAACACTCCACCCATATCAGCACCTATTAAACACCACCATGGGTCTCCACAGGCAACCAGTCCTGCCATCCCAACCCTTGGGACAAGGCACTCACACCCAACCTTCCATGAGGCCACTGCCTCGTCCTCCAAGCAAACCAATTCCGCTGCAAATCACGCACCGCCATATGAGTACACCCCCTACTCCCACACGCAGCTCTCTTCCCCACGGCCTGCTCCGTCCGATGTACAGCCCTCGACCACCCCTACACAAGCACCTGGCCCCCCATGTTCCGCCCCAGCTACATCACCACCAACCATGACGCCCTCCCGTGTCACGCTCTGGACCACCACATACCCTCCCCATGCTGACTACCTTAGCCCCAGTCAAGACACACGACTAGGCTCCCTAGTCCCCACCCATCAGGACATCCCACTCCACAACCCCGTCCCATCACCGACATCTCCCCCAGTTGGCCCGGAACGCCCAACCACGCCAACGGACACATGCGCACTGGGCACACTACGCCCGACATCCTTAAAAATGCAGCTTCCCGAGCCCAACCCGACACAGAGCACCACCCATCCAACGTTCGAGGATATGCCTACATCCCCGGCCCCAACACCACCTGGCCCGGCACACACCCATCCCTTCCCCCACACTGGCTCTCCCTCTCACCCAACCCGACCACCAACAGTCAAACGCCACCACTCCGACATCGAACCCGACCTGGATTTTTCACACCCCTCCTTCCACCTCCCGCCGACAAAGAGACACCACGATATGCGCTATCCGCCCACCCCGCACTACCAACCAAGCTCCTATGAACCTGGGCAGAACGAGCAAGAAGTAGCCGACACTACTATCGATGACGACGACCAGGAGGGGTATGACGCCAACACAGCCCTCCAGTTTCCGGGCATCCGGAACCTGCACGACGAAGGACAGCCAATCCTGTACCGCACCATGCAACGTTACTGGGAGCGGGAGGCACACCTCTTCCAAGGCTTCACCGCGGACGACGTTGCCGACGTAGAGCGACACTTCGCCGATGCCAAAGTCCGTATCCAGTTCTCCATCAACCCGTCACTCCAGCCTCCGGACGACCAACTCAGCATCATCAACTACTGACGCGAGATAGAGGATATCTGCCAGGAACGCTGCGGCCTTACCTTCCGGGGGGGTCTCCTCGAACACGGCCAGCAGCTCATCGGGGACCCCCTCCAACGCACCATCCAGGCCTGGGCAGCGCCACGACGTGGGTATCCTTTTCTCCGCGACATCTCTGTAGTTATGATCTACCAATATGCTGGTGTGCTCGACAACGGCCTCTCCTTCCACCAGCTCGAATACCGCAATCCATCCAAAACTTCCCCTGGTGACCTCATGTGCGCCCTCCGCGCCCTTGGGGCAACTGACGCCATCATCCAAAGCCATACCCGGATGTCCGGAACTCATGGCCCACGCGACCACTGGGCTGCCATCGGCTGTGTTAACTGGCCCTCGGAAGGCCAATACCGCTTCCGCCTCGTCTTCCCCAGCCAGAGCATGGCAGAAACGGTATACGCCAACTTCCGCCAACATATGGCCGGTCCCGACTGGATCTGGTCCCCCCCTCCATGAAGCTCACTCCCTTACGCGACCTCTGCTGGGACAACCCCACATCCACCTTCTTCCACCCACATGCCACCAGTGCCGCCACACTTGTGGATACCAAAGTCCGCATTGGCCGCCTCCCACCACTTACCACTACTGACGACATCCTCGCTGCGCTTCGCGGCTCTCACCTCCCCACCCCAGACGTCGATATCACAGGGGACGGCTATGCCACCCTCACTTTTGACACTCCAGCACCCATAGCCTTTCTCTGGTCCACCTCTGGCCCACATGGCGAGACCCGCCTATATATCCGTGACACTGCCGTCCACCTCCACATCCTCACCGGTCACCCCTGCCGGTCTGCTGCGCCGGTACAGTGCCGGGACTGTGGCCGCAACGACCACCACGGTCGACCCTGTGACCGCTTCACCTATTTGGAACCACGGGATCGCGCCCGCAGCAACTTCCAACACACCTCCACCACTCGCAGGGACCTACGTAGCCCTGACACACGCACGCGCAGTACAAGTCGCCACCGCCACGCGGGACACCACACACACTCCGCCCCCCAACACCCCGCCGCGGCAGGCCAACACCAACAACACCAACACCAAACCCAGGCCTGGCAACTCCCACTGCAGCGCCACCCGCACCAAGTCCCCGGACACACCACCAACCTCAATCTATTCCTCCGGCGGGAGCTCTCCACGTACGTGGACCAACGCATAGTATCGGCCACGACCCCACTCCGACAGGAGGTTGAGTCCCTCCGCGCTGACAAAGAAGCCCTGGCTGCACTTGTATCCGCCTCCAGTGTTGCTTTCTCCACTCTGGATGCGCGCCTCCTAGAGGAACGACGCCTACGAGAAGCCGCGGAACTTCTCCAAGCCGAGGACAACCGCTTACGCGCGGAGGCACACATACGCCTGAACACCGTGGTCACACAACACGAGTCCCAACAGGCTGCCTTAACTGCACGTCTCCCATACCTCGAATCCAGCGTCCACACACTACTACAGGCCATGCAGTCCGTATCATCTCAAATGTCAGCCCTGGCAGGGCTCGGGCCCCTACCCGCCACCCTCCCACCCAATGTGTCACCCGCCACTGACTCCACTGGGACCCTCCCGGGCACTGTGGAGGATGCACTACCGGCCCGAGGACAAGAACCAGACGACACCATGGGCACCGAGCCGGAGGATCAGTTGGCGTCAAACTAACCCCGGGGTGTTGGGTCAGACCAACGACACCTCGGCAACGCCTCTGGTCTGGATCGTGGTTGCTCCTCAGCTTTCTGCTCTGGATCTCCTGCTACCCCCCCCTGGCCGCTGCCACCCTCTCTCTATCACTGACAACACCCCTACCACCATACATCACTACACCGTCCCACCCCGCCCCGCCTTCAGCCACCTACACGACCCGTACTCTTCGGATGACTCCAACAACTCGGAACTCCTCGATACCCGTATATTGCGGAAGCACTACAAAATCCTCTCCCGCTGAGTACCCTCAACATCAACCACCCGCGGCAACGCCGCCGCCGACGCGCATGGCGGATCCACCGCCCCCCCCTCCCCCCACCCGACGCGGACACTGCCAGACACCAACTCGACAACATCCTCCGGCGTGAATCGCTCAAGGGCGAAGCGTACATTGGAGACCCAGGCCACCCGTCTCCACCGGTGCTCCAGCTAGATAGCCTGCGTATTGCATCCACCAACATCAATAAAAACACGTATGGTAAACTGGGAGATGAATTGGCCACTTCCTCAGCATCGCTGACTCCGACCTTCCCGCACACAAGGCCACTCAACTCTGGACTTCCACACCCAGTGGCTCCCCCACTCCACACCTCATGGCCATTAGTAATCACCGCGTCAGCATTTTATATGACATCCAACGTTGGCACCCACGCATCGATGCCCGGCGTACAACCTACTCCCCGACGGGGCGCAGTATATCCATCTGTATCCGCCTTGGCAAAGGCTCCCTCTTAACCCTCATTGGCACATATTGTCAAGACTCTCCCGCATCTCACCGCGATACGACCGAGCAGGAATGGCAATGGCTCACCCAGGCCACCACACAAATCCCTGGGCAACACCACTCTGTAATCATGGGGGGAGATTTCAACACCTACGACACCAACCCCCTCGACCGATCTGCCCCACAACCTCGCTCAGGCCACAGTCTGGACATCGGTACAGCCTTCCAGCAGTGGATGCAGAGTATTGGACTCCTCTCCACCTTCCGCTGCAGGCACCCCAACCGACAACGTCTCACCTACGCTCGCAACAACACTGCCGTCACCCTGGATGACATCTACATCTCTGCACGATCCGCCCACAAACGAAGTGCCAGTGGCATATGGCTCCATACCATCCACTCCAGTGACCATGCCGGCACCCCCTTTCTAGCTAGTTTCTTGCGGGGGCCACGTCGTGACTGCATGTGGGGGGGTGCCGTAATCAGGGGTGGGAGGCGGCCCTCGAGGAGGAGTTGAGAGGTGTGCTCGCCGAACGTGGAGATGTCCCCTTTCGTGAGGTAGCGTGTGTTGACAACTCGAATGGGTTTGACACCTGAGAGTCGTGAGGGCGTGTGATCACCTGGGTCCCTCCTCATCGAACATGCCGAAAGACGGCAAGAAGAGCTCTTCCTTATCTCCAAGGATTGCTTAAAGTGCTTTGATCGCATCCCTGGTTGGGTCATGGAGTATATATACCGCAAATTCGGAGTCCCCCCCTTCCCCGCCAGCTCATGGCCCACTTTCTGGGGGCCAGCCAGATCGACATCCGCACGGCTTTTGGATGGCTTGACGGTGGCATCCGTGAATTCGGCCTCGGCAAAGGATCTATACTGGCGGTCATGCACATTGGCTACTACATGGATGTCCTCATCCGACAGCAACAGGGTGGCACTGACCCCGTCCAAATCTCGCACAGCCAACACCCACAGGGACCACGAACACGCACCATCTCCAGCCTCCTCTTCGTCACACGCTTGACATATCCACCTCCTACTCAGGCCTCCAAGACCGAGTTAGGATATCCAACCAATTCACCGGCCAATCTGCATCGGGAGGGGTGTTTGGAGCCGACAAATCTTTTCTCTTCTACCTCTCCCCCTATGCTTACGCTGCTGTCGCCCTCAACGATGGACTCGGAAACCCCCAACCCATCCGAGTTGTTTCGCCCTCCGAGGGCTTCCGGCACCTGGACATACACCAAGGCACCCACAACCAATGGGAGGACACCACTCGCACGGTCTGGCTCAAATTCAACACCCAAGCTGCGGCTATTGCCCCACGGGGCTTGGAAAAAAGGAGCTCCAATACATCATTAATGCCGTCTGGATCCCAAGTGTCCTGTACCGCACGGCCATTAGCAACGCCATCAGTATCGCCCCGGCCCTCGACATTATTTTCCGTAAGACGGCACGCCGCGTCCTCCGCTTGCCACAAGACCATCCAAACTCCTGGTTCTACGACCACACCGATGGCTTGGGCCTCGTCCACTGCGAACGCTTGAGCCACAGCCAACGGCTGTACCAATTCCTCCGCATTGCCAACGACCGTGGCTCACCCGCACATGACATCCTCATGGAATCCCTTGAGGCCTACCAAACCGAGAGTGGCCTCACGGACCACCCACTCGCATTCCGTATCCCCCCACCTGCCTCAGACACTACGTTTATTGGTACACTCCTCCGCGACCTCGCTGCCTTCAACCCTGCCCTCATTATCACCACCCAATGGCACCAACCCCCCGCTAGCCGTCCCCAACGTCCCAACGACCGCCCTATCTGGGCTCACCTCACCCCAGCTTTCAGCACTACCCTCATCTCCATCAACCGCTCCCACACCAACAAAGTCCGGTGGGTCGGTGATATTACCAATGAAAAGGGAACGATGTTACTCAGCCTTCCATCCCTCTGCACCAAATACGGCTGGAACCGCGCAACACTCCAACGCTTCACCCCCATCTGGGATGCCATACCCACAGTCACACCACACAACCCACCCCCTATACTCCGGCAACAGACTATCCAGTGGGGTTCTCAACATTCCGGCCAGCCACTACCGCTCCCCCCTCTGCCGACTCTACCACGGCCCCATCTTCCCTATCTGGAACAACCCCTAGGTCGCACGTTCTTCACACCCTCCCGCGGCTTCGAAGCCATCCATGTACCACTCCGTGCCATGCTTGTCATCCCCCACCACCTTACACATCGGAACGGCCGACCCGACACACTCAGCTACCGCATCGGCCGACGTACCAGTCTCCAAACTCGACATACTCCCGCCGGCCCAGAAATCGCAGTCACCTTCTGGCATGAGCTCCGAAAGGGAACGGACATTTGGTACTCACCCACACCACGGGAAGCCCGTAGTCGACTCCGCCTAGTCCCCATTGCAGGGTGCGCGATCCTCACTGGCGACCTCCTCCGCACCAGCAGCACCCAACGCCACAAGTTCATCCCATGGACAGAAACGACGTGGACACATCCGGGCACGCACCACACACACCGCGGCAACAACAACCGCGCTCTTATTGCCTCCACCGCTATGCACAGAGCAGACCAGGCCCAGCTCCCACACGCACACCACACTCCCCCACACGCCACACCAGCCTGTTCTGCCTGCTACCGAATAGCGGACACTACTGTCTGTATGGACTGCGGGCAATGGCACCATCCTGCCTGCATACCACATTGCCAGGTGGTCCTACGCCACTCCACCCCTACGTACGGCATCCACACCTTCCCCCTTCGTGCCGCACGTACACACTCCGTCGGTGATGGCAGCGTCACAAACCAAGGAAAACAGTCAGCCCACGGCACATGGAGCTACCTGGGCAGCGATGGCACTACCCTTACTGGGTATATTCGGATACACCCAGACCACATCACCCCCACACGCTGCGAAGTCCACAGCCTCTTGGCAGGTTTGCACCACTCTGGGGATACAGCGCTTCAAATCTGCGACAACACCACGGCCATCGGTCTTGTTATCATGGCCAGGTCCCTCAAACGCCGTGGAGGCCAACCCCGCTACAGCAACATCCACCGAGTGGAACTCCGCTCGCTCATGGCCCTACTCAACCCCGAGGCGTTTGCTGGTGACTGGATCCGCGCCCACCAAGACAGCACAAGCACTACGGACCCAGTCCTACGTGCTAAACAAGCCCTGCTTGCGGAAGCCGACTCGCTGGCCACACTAGCACACCAATTACTCCCACACACCAACTATGCCCACCTCATCATTCCCGACTCCTGAGAACTCCGAGACCACCAGGACCTACCTGTCACAGGTGCAACTGCCCCCTGGCTTGGCGCCATCTACAGTCGGCATGACTGGCACGCAGCACAGGCCAGTAAACCGGACGCCCGCCGCACCATCCAGCCCCTCCGCCTCAACACCGGAGAATTATGTAAATGGGACCTCCCCGCCCTCTCCTTCTACTGGCGGGCTATCTGCTACACCCTCCACACTAACGTACGCAAACACCGCATTCAACCACGGTGGGAACCCCACTGCCGTACATGCCCGGACTTTCCCGACACGCAGGAACACCGCTTTGGACTCACGCACCCGCAATGCCCCGCGGCGACTTCACTAATGCAAGATCTCCTCCTCGCCACACAAGCCGTTATACCCAAAGCATGATTCCCAGACCAAGACATCAACCTCCCTGGCCACTGCACCGCTAGCGCGAGTACCTTCACTGGCTTGACACGTCCCCAATGGCAGACACGAAGTCGAAAACCCTCCCCCAACTCGGGACACTGCATGCTTCCTATCTCCCCAAAACGCTGTGCACTCGCCCTCCACATGCACCGTCTCCTCGGACCCCCCCGACCGACGACGCTCGCACTAGCTGCCACCCAACTACACTGGAGTCTACACAATGCCGTACGCCGGGCGGCCTCCTACCCCGATGGCTCTACCACACAGCCCTTGGCTGCGTACCCCTCCTGGCACCCCGTGACTTCTGGTTCAGTCAGTGGATGGGTGGCCCCAATGGCGCTACATTCCAAGGACCGCTCGAAGCCCCCCCTCTTTGTACCATCCCCCGGCCCCCTACATACCACCACTGGTGGATCGATACGACTCACCACCCCTTCTCCACACCTGGTGGCGCCAACTATCCACAGAAATACGGACAGCCACCACCAGCCACATGCAGACCGCATACTGGTTCGTTGTTCCAGAAGGTTCCCAGGGCCATACCCAGGCAAACAGCCCCCCTATAACATGGCTCCTCACCATACCCACGGGCCAGATCACCCTACGCAACCCCTCCTCCATACACCACGTCACCACCCCTCAATGGGGCAAGCTCACCACTAGCAACCCCGTCCACATCCACATCGGTTTCCTCACCACCGGTACAACCCCGGACCTCCTCACTCCCGCCCAACACCACTGGACTGAGGCACTCAGACCCCTAGATGCTACCCACTGGCTCCATCGCCCCCAACCCATCATACTTAGCACCACACCTGCGGACGCCAGCACCACCAACCCCAAGATCCTCACGGCTCCCACTCACTGCCTCCACTGGGCCAGCTCAACATCCCGGCTTTCGACCAATACGCACATGACACACGCAGCTACCTCGAGGCTACGTACCCCACCATATACCTTGCTTCCTCGGGCTGGAAACAATTCCCCACCATGACGACATCCACACACGACTGGGCATCTACCATCACGCACCTACACGCTCCGCACTTCCACAAAGCATGGTTTTCCGCGCACTGGGCTACCCTTCGCCAACACTGGCAATCCACATGCTCTACTAACGTAGAACACATCTGCACCGCAGGGGAACTACCCCTCCTCACTGAGGTTAACAACAACATCCGGCTAAAACGCCATCACCACCATGCCTACCCCATGGGCCACGACCGACGCATCCGCGCCCGCAGAGCCCACCTCACAGCCAAGACGCTCCGATGGCACTCCCGCAGACTCTCTCTGTTACACCCTGCCATCCCCCCTCCCATAGGCTACGCTGACCCGACCCTCCTGCCACCGCGACACTCCCCGGCCCCGGGATATCACCTCCAGCGGTTGAAGCGTTCCGTCCCCCTGGAGCCGACACAGTCAGGTTTTTCAAGTAGTTAAGTCCGCTAGCTGCTAACGCAACTAGTACGCGGCCGTGGCCATTAAGTGCCCGCTGAGTGATTTTAACTTTACAGCGTAATATCATTGTAGTATCAGTAGGATTGCGCTAAGTATTATACAGTTCGAGAAAACGACATCGAAGTTCGTCTATTTTCGATGTATGCGCATGTCGACATGCCGTCGGAGCACCACAAAACATGCACATGCGCAATAAAAATAAATCATCCACAAATGTAATGCAGTATCCGGAACTGCTCAGTTTTCTCTGAATATGTGTCACGAAGTAGGAAACAGGAGGTAGGACAGGAGGTAGGCGTAGGTGATAGGCGTGTAGCAACTTTGCGCAGAGTGTCCAAGACAAACCAAGTGTGCGGGACAGGGGAAAACCAAAAGTGACATTCAGTCGTTTACAAACTATCTAGCTTCGTTTCTATTGGCTAAAACTCAGCCAAAGGGAAACACTGACCTGTGAGAATCAGCGCTCTTTTCCTTGTGCTAGAGCCGTGATTACTAGGGTAGGGTTGCGATATGAAGAATATGCAGAACATGCAGGTTTA